CCACCAACACTGCCGGCAGCGTTTACAGGTAGTTGCTGATCTCCAGTTGGCGCTCGCCACCCTCCCTTGCAGCCGACACCGCCATGGCCGCCTACAGGAGCTCCCTGCCTCCATGCTGCTGCTGCTGCCTGTGGATTAGTGAAGAGAAAATAGGGAAACATTGTTTTCAACGTGTCTCTTAGTTTTTAGAAGAATAACAGTGTATTTAAAGAAAAACCTAATTAGTACATTTAGAGAATGTTTTCAGGAAAGTTAAAGTAGAATTTCTTCATCATATTCTCTATTTAAGTTATAATAAACTATAAGCATACTTTGCACTAAAAGTGCATTAGAGCAAAGCATTTCTTCTTTAATTAGAGCATCTTTAAATTGATGCAGTTAATACTTTCTGACATTAATTATCTGTTTCTTCTGAATGATTAGCTCTTTACTTTTGTAAAGGCTTTTCAGAATCATGTCCTGTCTAAACCATCCCAGCAGTAATGTAGGGATGCAGCTGAGTACCCAGGGCAAAGTGGAAACTGCAATTTCCTATTCACGATCATAAACATGAACATGCAGCTGCCAACAGCAACCACTTTCTTTAGCCCTCCCCCCCCGCCCCCCCCATGTTAGTGTCTGGGGAAGTTGCCCCTATTGGGCACTCGCTCTCCTGGTTATGCCACTGCATCCCAGCTAAGTATTTGTTTACCCTGATCTTAAAACTTTCACTGATGGAGATTCCACAAAGTTGTATGTTTCAGTATTTAACCACCCTCAAACTTAGAAAATTCTTTCTGATATCCAACTTAAATTTCCCTTGTTGCAATTTAAGTCTCTTATTTTTTGGCCTGTCCACTGCAGGTACAGACAATAATTGATCACCATTCCGTTTATAACAGCTTTGTTATATTTGAAGACTTTTAGTGAATATCTTCTGCCCTCCCCACCAGTCTTCTCTTCTCCAGTTCTTCTAACCTTTCCTTGTATGTCTTGTGCTTTCCTTGTAAGCCATGTCATCTGTTCTGAGCAATGAATGTATATTTGTATTTTCAGGGTAATTTTGGTGAAGTGTATAAGGGAACGTTAAAAGATAAAACTCCTATTGCTGTAAAAACTTGCAAAGAAGATCTTCCTCAGGAACTGAAAATAAAATTTTTATCAGAAGCCAGGTGAGTTCTTGTGAACAGTTACCATATGTGATTGCATGACATGTATTTTTTTCAGGTTTGATTATCACATGGCTTTTAAAGCTATCTGTACTATACATGGTAGGTGAACTAATCACAAAAAATGGTGCACCTAAGGCTTCCTCTACACATTATATTTTGCCACAATTAACATGTTAATCGTGGCATAATTAGCAAGCGTGCTACCCATGTACGCAATTTAAGGTGCAATAAAATGGCAAGCCAGCCATAAAAATATTCTGCATATAGGTTCACCAGTCAACTGATCTTCATTCCCGGCCCTGGACCTGTGGTCATCCTGCTTTCAGCTTATTTCAGGCTCCCTCTGTATTAGCAAGTAGAAAGAGTCTAATTGTGATCTGATCCCAAAATCATGCCTCCTACCATGCATTTGTGCTAGGGGCCTAATACTCTTAGTCATCCCACTATTTTGTTTGAGTGGGTGATTTTATCACAGGCTCAAACAAATAAGTTAGATCAATCGCTGATGGCTAAACATTAGTATTGAAATTGTGCCTATATTAAGAGCAATCTACCATTTTAGGATTATTGGTATACTGTACTGGAAAAAGACTCCTACTTCGAATGAAGCTCTGTGGGCACAATTGGATTTAGCACTGGTGAAAGGGAAACCATTGCCTACAAGCAAAATAAGCGATACCAGTAAAAGCACATTCTTGGCCACACAGCAGTCTACATTGTGAACTTCTGCTGACACGGTTGCCTGACATACCTGTGTTAATAAAAGGCCTCCGGAGAAGTTATGCTTATCCCAGTCAGGAATAACATGTTTTCATACTCTTGACTGACATACCTGAACCAGTACAGCCCTCACCAAACTCATGTGGAAGTTAGACCCCATTAATTGATCATTTGTTGGGAAGGAACATATCCTCTCTGGAAGGGCTCTCTTGTGCCATGTCAGGCAACAATTACGAAATGGTGATGGAAAGCCTAAGAATTAACTGATACGTATATATAATAGTATTTGTCCTTTTAGTTCTCCAGCTAAGGGAATGTAACAAAATATTGGAAAAAAAAATTACTGCCCTGTGTTTTTTTTACAGTTGGACATAGTTTCTTGTTTCGGTAAATAACAGATTTTGAAGATGAATAAAGAAACTTTAACTTTATACAGAAATCTTTTGTAGAACATTACAGCTATATAAATCCCTATAAAAGTTATGTTAGTAGCTTAGTTGGCTACCAGGGAGTAACTTGACTTGCTAAGCAGCCTCCAACTCAAGAAATGGTTTTACATTGAAAGGACAGTGAAACACATTGTTCTTTACTGAAATTATATTTAAGCACCCTACAAGTTTCCTTTTTCTTTTACAAGAGGCACTTCAAGTTAATGACCGGCAAGGCTGCAACTTTCTACAACTATAATGTCCCTCAACAATTCACCCCAACCCTTGTTTTCATTTATAAATCATGGTGCATATTACTCAGACTCATCATAATCTTGCTTCAGCAGATGCAAGTTTTATACAAGATGCAAGTTCAGTTTAGAATAGTTTTTTTTTTCTTTTGCTAATTTAATATTCTTTAATACATATTGTGTCTGAGAAGCTGAATTTGGACCTGATCTATACAGAAGCAAAATGCAGACGGAAGCATTTGCTCTGAAAGCTTTTTGCCTGGATCCTCACTTCTGATGTGCTGTTTAGCCTCTTGAGCTATGACTGCATTGATACGCCAAATTATATATTTCTGTGATATGGGCAAATGGTGGGATTACTATGAAAATATATAGCCATAGTACTTGACTTGAAAATTAGTTAATCTATGCACTAGTTTTTAATTTTCTCAACAGTGTCGTATGGCTACAGTTCTGCAAAGGGGGTCATTTGATAGATTGAAAGACATCTTGTTTTATTTTGGATGATATTGCAGTGGCACTGGCTATTTGGAAACAATGTTAAGAGTTTAAGATATTATCTGTTGATATTTTAATTTATTTTAATCAGTTTGCATAGTAACATTAATCCACCTTTTTTGCACCATATCCAGAATACTCAAGCAATATGATCATCCCAATATTGTGAAGCTTATAGGAGTTTGCACTCAAAGGCAGCCTATTTATATAGTTATGGAACTTGTTCCAGGTAATGTTCTTTTCATTTTTATAACCTGTTTGTGTGAAAATATGTTACCTTTTCGTTTTCTTAATTTTTTGTGTTTTGACTGACCTTAACTCTATATGTTGCAAACCATGCAAAGAGCTTTGTTAATAGTAGCCTTGGTGAAATGAGCTAAATAAGTCTATTGTGAGTTTCCATACAGCCAATCAAGACATCAAAAACTATAAGAAAATGCCACTTCCATTTGTTTAATGGAAGAACAAGATTATTGCTTCTCTTCATGCCAGTGCAGTTTCAATGAGTTGGCTTTATTGTGATTCAGTGACTCATGCATATTTTAAAAAATTATTGACTGATGAGTTAATTGAATTTAAATTTAGTTATTCAATTGATATAACATCTTTGGTATCTAGGAGCAGTAATTATAGGTTGCCCTATTCACTGAATAATTTCTGTCATTTATGTGTGTATTTTCAATTAAAGTAGTATGAAAATATGTTAAGAACATTGTACAGTTTCTATAAAATCTTTGTACCACTCTTGGGCTGGTAGGCTCATATATTTTGTCAGCAGGGAGACACCGTTCTACATTAAGATGATAATCATTTGCATGCTTTAATTCCACTTTGAATCTGTCTGCAGCAGGCATCTGTAACCACTGGTGCTCATTAGTATGCAAAAAGTTAGTACAAGTGATAAAGTGAAAATTCTTCAACATTATATTCTTATCTGTAACAAGAAACATCCTGTTCAGAAAGAACCAGACCATATGTGTATAGAATGTTTTTATATAGTTTATTTTGTATCATTATTGAGTACTAAGAGATGCACACATTTCACAGTGAAATGTTAGTATGTTCATCGTTTTGTGACTGAGTTTTTCCAAACAGATTATTTTTTCTCTTTCTGGCTACTTCTGTTGTTTAGGAAAATGTAGTCTGGGTGTAATTGCAATATTATGGGCAGGTTTTATGCAAGCTTTAATTATCTCTGCCAGAGAACCTAAATCCTAATTTCTAAAATCTCTACCATTCTGGTCCAGGATTTACCGGGCTTAGAGCAAGCGGTTGAAGGAAGGTATCTGATAGAACGATCTGTAGAGTGTTAGCAAATGGGACCCCATTCTACATAGATTCTACTCCTGATTCCTCCCAAAAGTTTCCTCCTCTAAAAACTTCCTAATACTAGCCCTGATCTGCCTTGTGCCCTTGCATATTATGTACACGCATTAAGTGTCCACCAGGAGACTTGCTGCTCTCCCGGTAGAAACTGGAAGTGTACAGATATTCCCACTTTTTCTCTCGGATGACAAAAGGCCAATTTGGGGAAAAAAATAACTTGGCTACAAACAGATAAAATTCCCCCCATGACAGTTTCTGCCAAGAGAATGAATTTCTGCATGCTTTCCTGTGGCTTAACTCCTCCTTGGTACCATAAGGAGTGGATCCACAAAGAAAGACCCCCACGCCTTCCAGAAACCAGGATGAACCTGATCTGGAGAAGGCATAGGAGGGCAGCTGGTCCTTCCCCTGCCTGAGACCTGAGCTTCGCCCTGCCGGCTTCTCAGTCCAGAGTCCCCAAAGAGAAAAGCAGGCAAGGGACTTTGCTCTGCTGCTTTCTCTATTCTGCTGCATGAGGCCTAGAACAGAACGGAGGAGCAGCTGCTCTTTGCTCCCTGCCTCTTCCCCTACCTGGGCACTGCCCAGCTTTGTAAGCAGCTGGAGACTTTGCCTCACTGCTCACTCTACTCTGCTCCTGGAGATGATCAGCAGAGTGGAGGAGACTGCTTCCCAGCTGTTCTCCAGACCCTAGTCTGGGTAAAGCCTTGGGAGTCTTTCCCGCTGCTCCTCTCCCCACCCCCAAGTACTGCTTCCCATGCACCTGTGATCGTATTTGAACTTTGATCTTGGGATAAAGTACTAGTACAATCACTGACTGCAGCATGTTGACCAGGGTGTTTTCTGGTTTTTTTTAAATCTTTTTATACAGTTTATCTTCAAATAACATAGTAAATGTGGATATGCTTGAAGATATTTAAGTTATGTTACCCTGAAATTCAGTTTAAAAAAAAATAGCTGGATATGGAAAATGTTGTCGTGAAATTGCATCATCCTATAAAATGCACAACTGTAAAAGTCTGTGGCTTGTAACTATATTATAGTCTCTTCAGGTATATAGCAATACCAGTTGGCCTCAGATTGTAGTATAATATCATAGGTATATTTGCTGAGTTTCTGCATATAGTTTGCCCTTTGCTAGAGAACCTTATTCTTTATATTTTTTTATTCCCTTTATATGTGCCATTTGTGGACTATGATATTTATTTTTTCTTTTGAGGTTGCTTTGATATGAATTTCATTGCTTTTATTTATGGCTCTCTAGTTGCTGTTTTAGATTCAGTTAGTTTTACTGAATTTTCAGTTGTTGAAATCTTTCTCCATTCTCTTCGAGAACTTTGGGCCTGATCATGAGAAGTGTTCTTTGGCAGCGGCAGCAATCCCTCACAGTTGAGGATGATCACTCACACGGGTCAAGTAAAGGGTTGTAGATGAGTCTTTTGATGGATAAGAAGGCCACTCCTCAAGCCACAGATTCTCTGGCAGATGCCACAGGTGGTGGTTAAAGGGAGGGTCTAACAGGGCATTTCTTGGTCTTGTTTCCTTTCCTTCCGTTCTGTCCTTTTTCTGCCTCCAGGGCAAGCTTTCTTCAAAGCTATGCTTTCTCTCATAAGGTGTCACCATGTAGCCCTGTCCCAGGCTACTTTACCAATTTGTGACGTCAGTGTTTGCTTTGAGGGTGTCCTTGAAGCATTTCCTCTGGCCTCTGCATCTCCTTTGTCCTAGGCTGAGGTGGGAGTATAGTAGTTCTTTTGGTATACATGCATCAGGCATGCACACATGATGCCCTGTCCAGTGCAACTGATATTAAATAATTAATGCTTCCATAGTGATGGTATTAACATCTGTGAGGGCACTTGTTTGTGCGTTGATCCTCCCACTTTATGCTAAGGATCTTCAGGAGGTAGTACTGGTAATGGTGTTCCAGGCATTTCAGGTGGTCCCTTTAGGCCACCCAAGCTTCACAGCTGTAGAGAAGAGTTGGGATTACCACAGTTATATACAGTAGGAGCTTTGTTTGAGGCCTGATGTGATGAATCAGTCTTCTGAAGGCAGAGCTGGCACATCAGATCCTGTACTGGATCTCCTCATCAATATCAGTCTTCTTTGACAGATGGCTGCCAAGGTATGCAAAGTATTCAACTTTCTCCAGCTCCTGTCCACCAATGAGGATCTTTGCGTGGGGAGCTGATTGTCATGGAGCAGGCTGGTGAAGCATCTTTATTTTTTCGATGGTAATTGTCACTCCCAGGCACTGGTCTATCTTATTGCTCACCACCTCGCAGAATTAGGTGTTTTTTCCCCCATATATATTTAGGAAGCTGGAAAAGAAATAAATCTCAAGACTGAGTAGTCCATGATAAGAATCAAAAGAAAGGTGTCAGACTTGGTTAAGCAACCATGCAATCATTGCTTCAGAAACAAACTACATGTTGCTGAACAAACAGTCACGGGATATAGCATATTTAAAAGACAAACATCTTTGAGGTGGAACCCCTTTTTTTAAACAAGATGACAAGTGACACTCCTCCCTCAGAGAGGGTCACAATGAAAAGGAATTTCGAGAAAACCTATACAGCAATGAAAAATCTAAATCTATTTTTGTGTAGGAAGAGGGGTTAGGTGCATAAATTCTGTATTTGCTTAGAGATCCTGTGGTTGAAAAAAACAATTATTGCCCAGCCACTGCTGCCTGCGGCTTCCTTCTTTTGGTTTAATGGTTTCCCTGTGCTGGATCTTTTGCGGGGAAGTACAGTGAGGAAATCTTACAAGCACAGTTTATTGTTCCCTCTCTTCCTGTGATGGTATGAATATTTCAGACCATCCTTTACTAATTGTTCCAATTTCTTATTGCCACTTTAGCAGTCTTATTGCCATTTTAAAAGTTTTCATGAGAGGACAATTCACTTGCTAAAGTGTCCAAGCTCACTGGAAGTAAAGGCAGCATAGGTACTTCCCGCTGTCATTCCTGTTATAAGAGAAAAAAGGAATGATCATTCCCAAAATGCCACTTTTTTTTCAAGGAGAGACTGTATACAGCTTCCCTGGTTTCCCACAGTTAAGTGCTATTTGAAGCACTTCTACTGTCCACTTTGTTCTTAGATAATGCAGGGGATATCTGTCTGAAAATAGCTAGAGAAAGGAGAGTGTCACTGAGGAGGAGACTTAAACACTATAGATAGACTAGCCAATTGCCCACCAGAAATGACAGGGGGAGGGCGGGCAGGGACGGAGCGCTACCACCCACCACCCCACACCGCTGCCATGTCCCAGAAGCAGGGGTAGCAGGGAACCTTGTGGCCCACTGTCCCCTCTGTCCCCTTGGCCAGCATCCTGTGTTGCCACTGCCGACAGGGAGCAGGGGTGAGGCCAGTGGCGCTGGCCTCACCCACCCCCACTCTGACTGCTCCAACCCTGCTGTCATGTTGGCGTGCCTCTGCTGTCTCCTGTCCAGAATGCTCTTGGAACATTCTGATTGGTTGTTTCAGACAACCGATCAGAGTGCACATAAAGTGTTACAGACTGACAGACAAACAGACTAAAGCTTTAATAATATTAGGACAGAGATAGATATACAGAGAGAGAGAGAGAGGCTTGGGGACTTGCTCACCCTAACCCCTTAAGGAAGAGATATAAATTTAAAATATAGGTTATAGAAGATTCTTACTCCATAACAAGCAGTGTGACAATCTAGTGAATCAACTAAGGAAGATATGATACGAAGAACTGAAATATCCTAAAGAATCCAACTGGCCCATGACTAGATAAATTGGTTTAATTGCTAAAATATTTTAAAATAATCATGTATATCTACATACTTTTTAATGATTGACTTGTTGTTGTTGTTGTTGTTGTTTGAGGGATTGGCAATTTCAAGAGAAATGGTATTTAACTTTTTTAAAATCC